AATAATAATAATAATAATAATAATAATAATAATAATAACAATAATACAATCCCTGCTCTCAAGGAGCTCATGATCTGATGGAGGAGATAACACACAAACAATTATGTACAAACAAACTATAAACAGGATGAATTGGAGATAGTCAACTGAGGGAAGGCACTAGCATTAAGAAGAATCAGAAGAGGCTTCTTGTAGAAGGTAGGACTTTAGGTGAGTTTTGAAGGAAGCTAGGAAGTCAGGAAGCAGAGATGAGGAGGGAGAGAATTCCAGGCATGAGTGACAGCCAGAAAAAAATGCCCAGAGACCATGGATAGAGTATCTTGTTTGAGAAAGAGCAAAGAGGCCATTGTCGCTGGATCACAAAGTATGTGGAAAGGAATAAGCCATAATAAGATTGGATATGTAAGAAGGGGCCAGGTTATGAAGGACTTTAAATGTCCAAACCGAGGGTTTTATATTTGATCCTGAAGGTGATCGGCAGCCACTGGAGCTTATTGAATGGAGAGTTGACATGGTCAGATCTGTGCTTTAGTAAGATCACTTTAATAGCTGAGCGGAAGATGGACTAGAGTTGGAAGAGACTTAACAAAAGGAGAATAACCATTGGGCTAGTACAATAGGACAGCCATGAGTAGATGAGTGCCTGCACCACAGTGGTGGAAGTATCAGAAGAGAGAAAGGGGTAATAAAGGAGAATTGTTGAGAAGGTAGAATCAACAGGACTTGGCAACTCATTTGATGGGGATGAGGTGGTGGTGAGAGGGAGTGAGGAATCAAGGATGATATCTATATTTAAAGCCTTAGTTCAGTGGGAAGATTGTAGTGCCCTGAAGAGTAGTAAGGGTGTTGGGAAAAGGGAAAGATTTTTTTTGTAGCGGTGGTGGGGAAGGACAAGAAAATGAATTCAGTTTCGGCCATATTGAATTAGAAATATCTACAACATCCAGTTTGAGATATCTAACTGGGGTTGTAAGACTGGAAGTCAGGAGAAAATTTGTCATTGTTCAGTCATTTCCAACTCTTTATGACCCTGTGAACCATAGCAGGCCAATACTGTCCATGGGATTTTCTCAGCAAAGATACTAGAGTGATTTGCCATTTCCTTCTCCAACCAATTAAGGCAAACAGGGTCAAGAGACTTGCCCAGGGTCACCTAGCTAGTAAGCTGGATTTGAACTCAGGTCTTTCCTCCAGTTCCTGGAGAGAGGTTAGGACTGAATAAATAGATCTGAGAATCATCTGCGTAAATATGATAATTGAATCCATGGGCGCTGAAGAGATCACCTAATGAAACAAGAAGGGAGGGAGAAGAGAAAAGGGCTCAAGCTCAGTTATGGAGGATCTACCCACTATTAGGTGCCACCTGGAAGAAGATCCAGCAAAGGAGTCTGAGAAGGAATAGTCAGATGGATAGGAAGAGAACCAGGAGAGTAGAATCAAGAAAACCTAGGAAAAAAGAGATTTCCAAGGAGAAGAGAGTGATTAACAATTTCAAAGACTGCAGAGATAAAAAAGGATGAGAATTGAGAAAAGAAAGCACACAACTCAACACATAGGTAAATGATATTGAAGAGCCTGAATAGTAAAAAAAAAAAAAAAAAGCCGAAGTACCCCAGTTTTCTTTTTTCTCACTGTGTTTCCATCTCTTAAGGAAAATGGGGTTGTGGACTGCCCAAGGCTAGAGAGGATGAAGACATAGAGGAAATTTTCCCATAAAAAAATAACTTTAATTGCTCTTAGTATCTCTGGTTAAGCTCTGACCACATGTTCTGCAAAGACTCTTCTAGATTGAACCCCTAAGAATGCTGTTCTTTGCAGAAACCCAACAAACACCTTTCTGCTGCTCAGTCCTACCCCTAACTTTGAAATGTGGTACAATCTCCCTTCTTCTTTGACTCTGGTAGGGATATACCATCATTTCTTTAAAGAGGGTAGGCTGCTAGAAAAGAATTTTCATTATAGCCACCAGAGGGTAGCACACACCAGGGTCCTATGGCCTTGGGGAGCACACACAAAATCAAGGGGGTTGCCTTCTGCTTCTTCCTCACCAGGACTAAACTTGTCATTTTCATGACCTCTTAGCCCAGCCTGGTGTTCAGTCCTTACTAAGATGCAGTTGTGAATCTTCTGTGCCCCAAGACTCAGAAAGGGCCCCAAGTGTTTGTTCAGTCCATGTTCCATACATGTCTTCTAGGCCTGAGTGGGGACTTATTAACCAGGCAGGCCTCAGCATCTTCCCTCTCCCATCCCACATGTGTTAGGAATGGAGGGGGGAGCTAATCATCAGGACTTGTGTAAGGGCTTGTGTCTAGACTTAAGGTTTGCAAAGGATGAGGAAATGAGTTGATATGAGGAAAGGTCTGCACACACACATTCGCGCGCATGCACACACACACACACACACACATACACTACTGTCCTAATTCCAGCTTGCAGTCTCTAGGAGACAAGGGGGAGGGTGGTTTTCAAGGAACCATCCCCCTCATCCTGACCTTCATTATGCAAATGACTGGGATAGGAATCCTAGGAGGAGGGTGGTTAGGAACAGGAGACAAGGAGGTGGGAGACTTGGGGGCAGAGAAGAGAAGAGGAAGACAGCCTGAGAGAGTAGAAGATCCTCAGTCCTGGCTTTCCAGCTTAATACTCATTGCATTTCTTCCTCATGTGGGCTGGCATCCTTAGGGCAGGTGGCCTAGAGGCTCAAGTTTGAGCCCTGGTAGTGTTGTGCTGAGATAGACTAGAACTGCCCTGAGTTGGGGAGGGGGGAGGGTTGTGGTAGTGGAAACTTAGGGCATTTCAGAGCTGACATCTCATACCTGAATTGTTCCTTTTATTAGATCACATAGAGAAAAAAGGACAGTGACAGTATTAGAGTTGATCATGGCTCTTCCTTTTGCCTGACCGGGCATAGAACAGGGGCAAGAGTTGGAAGATTATATTACCATTTATAAATAGAAAAATAAAATTATCAGCCAGGAACTAGAGCACTCAAAAGGGGGCAAGGTGTTTGTAAGCTCCATGAGGGCAAGGACTGTAACATATATATATTTGCATCTCGCTCCACTTCTAGTAAAGTGCTCTGCATAGAGTATATGTTTAATTAATGTTTGTTGAATTTAAACAAATTAAATTGAATTTGTAGAGGGCCAAGGAGAGAATAGTGGCTAAGGGAAATACTGCTTCCATCAATGCACAACCCCCTTACTCCTCCTTAGGACACCTTGCCAAACTCCCCTCAACTCCAGCCCCTCACCCAATCCTTCTTCCTTTGTCCTCATCTTTCTCTCTGTTCCTCCTTCTTAACATTTCATATTCCGTCTGTATCCTCCGGTCTCCATGTGCCCACGACTTCTGCCTCTGCTCAGGCGTTTCCACCTAGAACTCTCAGCCCAATAGTTCCTCTGCCAGGCGGTAGAGGAGGCGGGAGTACCAGTGCATACCGATGGACTGGGTGGTCCCACCAGGCAGCAGAGCCCCTAGCGCATGGAGCAGACGTAAGGGCGCGAAGGCACGATGAGCCCACTGGTGACTCTCCAGGACAGCGTAGCAGGAGGCCAGGACGTCGTTCACCAGCAGAGTCCCGTGCGCAGTAAGAGGTGCGAACACACCCACAGCCTCCTCCCTAGCCACACGGGCCACTCGCGCAGGTCGAAGCGCGTCCCCGCCTGGGGCAAGTACCGAATCCCCAGCTCGCAATCGCCGAGCAAACACTGGCTCGAAGTCGGCTGGGGCAGGCGCCGGGCCGCGGGCCGCAAAGACCAGGTGCCAAGGTGTGAGGAGCAGTTTGCGTGGGGGCCTCTCCGTCTCCACTGCTACAAAAGAGGCCCGGCGCTGCAAGTCTCGGTCCAGGAAGAGCAGCACTGGCGTGGGTACCACCCGGCCGGCTGCATCTGCAGCTAGCACCCAGTCTCCGTGATGCAGTTCACGTAGTCCCTTCCGTTCTCCGCTCCGCAGACGTACCGTGGCATTTCCTGGGAAGCAGCCACCTGCCCGCACCGCCAGAGAGTTGTCTGCGGTGGGAGCAAGGGTAGAAACCTTAAACAGGAGTGACACAACTTCTCTTCCCGCTAACCCCTACTACCACCTCACAGTCCATCTCCTACTTCTTGCCTCCACCCGGGCTAGAAGAGGGACATTCACAGTGATTTACAATGATACCCGTCCCCTTGGGTTCATTTTCAGGCAGAAGGCCGGTACAGTATAATTTTTTCCCCCTAGCAAGTGATGCTTTCAGGATCCGCCCAAGCCTTACTCTTACCAGCTTTGACAGACACATGGACATGGTTTCGGGATTCGTAGTGTACCCAGTCGAAGCCAGCCTCTACTGCCAGTCGTGCCAATAGTCCGTACTTATTGCGGTCGCGGTCCGACGTGGTTATGTCCAAGGCCCGGCCTTCGTAGTGTAGTGAGTCCTGAGCATGGTGTCCGTCTTCGTCCCAGCCTTCGGTTACCCGCAAGCGCACTCCTGGCCACATGTTCATCACAGCTATAGCCAACGCGTTCACTCGTTCCTTACAGCGCTGGGGTGAAACAAGGGTGTGTGGGGGTTGGAGGAGTGGAATCAGCGGTTTGAATTGGAGTAGAAGGGAGGAGAAAGGGGAGAGAAATGAGACGGAAAACCAGAGTCGTCCGCCGTCCAAATCTATTACCTTTGAACCATTCACCCTTCTTAAATAACCCAGCGGGAAACCAGGGAAACCCCCTCCTGTAATGGAGGGGTAGGAAAGGAGAATCATCTTACTCCACTTCTGGTTCCCCTTTCCCCTCCAGAAGTGCTGGAACTTCAACTCAGCTTAGGATCTAGATGATACGCCCCCCCCCCCCATGCAGCTTGCTCTACAGAGAAAGACGGGGTGTGGCTCCACCGGGGAACCATGAGGGGAGGCTGGGTCGACTGCCCCAAGAAGAGTCCCTATTTAAGCCATCTGGGCCTCAGCTTAGGCCCAGACCTCCCTCCGCCTGATTCATCTTTTGTTTCTTTGCCTCCCCTGGCACTGGGCACTGTTTCCTTCCTTCCTTCCTTCCTCCTCCTCCTCCTCCAGCCACCCGACTCACCACCACCTCACCCCCCAGCATTAACCCCTTCAGGCACTACAAGCCTGGAGGAGAGGGAGTGGGCGTGAGGAACCTAGGGGGCGCCCAGAGAGGCCGAGACTACAGGAAAGGTTAGAGTGGCGGGGGCTGCGGAAAGCACAATGGCCATTCTCCGGGATGACTTAACCGGGTGAGAATCCCGGGCCGGGGCTGGGGCCGGGGCAGTGGCGGGAGAAGCGAACTCAGCAGCTCTAGCCACAAAGACTCTTTTCAGCCGCCCCAGCGCGGGGAGAATAAAGGGCAGTGAGCCGCGCCCCCCTCTCCCAGAGGAGTGCCACAGCCCCCTCCCCCAGCTTGGCCAACTCTTCGTCGGCCCAGCCTCAGCCAAGGATCTCCAAGCGCACAGAAACCCCACCTCTCACTCCTCCAGGTTACTGCCTAGAAAGATAGGGCTGCAGCACCTGGGAATGAGGGGTGTGCTGCCCAGCCGGACTGCCCAGGAATGAGGAGATCCCTGATCTGAGGTGAAAGCTGCGGGTGGGCGGAGAAGGGAGGCAAAGACTCACAACTTGGTTCTGGGGGAGTGAGTCTGCGCTTATCATTCATATTTACAGTCTAGGAGCAAGAGACCTTGGCCTGACTCATAACGGGGAGAAAGGAGGGGTTGGAAAGGGAATCCTGGAGAAGGCGGGGAGCTGATAGCCTCCTTTTCTTCTCAGCCCCGCCCCCTCACCTTTAACTTTAGTTTCCCTCATTACAAGGTTGGGGGAATACTCCTCCTGGTCCCCTACCCCCAACCTCTACACCTCCAACAAGTTCCACACAGTGAATCAGAGGAGCAAGAAAAGTCGCTGCGCCGCTGTGGCCAATAGGCTAAGAGGAGGCCCTGACCTGCGGGGGCAGGACCGCTGAGAGCTGGGTCCAGTTCAATGGAGCCATTTTGCTGCCAAGCAATGGGAGGTAAGGGTCTCAAGAACTACATCATATACTGGAGGGAGTTGGGGGAGGCTTCCCTGTATTCCAATACAATATATGGTTCCATTTCAATTCTGTCAGGTACAGGTGTCATTGAGAAATATGATCAGGTAAAGAAGGCACAGGACTGAGGAAGGAAGCCCCTGGCTGGAAGTGGAAGCCACAGAAGGGAGCCCCAATTCCCAGGGTAATGACTGCTAAGCAGGAAACTTGTTGGAGGTGTAGATTTGGGGTCTCCTGGGTTTGAACGAGGAAAGAAAATGAATTCTTTCTGGGCAGTATCCCCAGAATAAGAATAGCTAGAATTTATGTAGGATTAAAGGTGTCAAAGCAGTATCTCATTTGGTCTTCACAACTACCAAGTGAGTTAGTTGCTATTATTGTTCCCATTTACAGAGGAGTAAACTGAGGCAGACAGAAGTTGTGACTTAGCAGGGTCACATAGCTAGTCTGGAGAATGGAGAATTAATTAATTTATCCAGAGAAAATAGCTTGCTTTTCCCTTTCTTCTCCTCCTAAGTGCTGTATAATGGCAAAAAA